ACAGCAAAAATAAAAGATGTTTTCAAAGCAAACACTTGCCATGTGGGGTAAATACTGATGAGCCTCAATTGCTTCCCTGCCTCTTGCATGATATCCTAACTAAAGAGTTAACCTCTACACAGGAACTAAATGCTTTGGTGCTTAGTAAAAGGAAAGGTGCCAAGATATGAAGTGCTAAAGTAAGTTATTTAAAATTGCTATAAAAAATATCAAGGAGCGCTAATCAGTTTAGCTGAGTGGATAGAGTGTCGGCCTGCGAAATGAAGGGTCCCGGGTTCGATTCTGGTCAAGGGCACATGCCCACGATGTGGGCTTGATCCCCAGTGAGACACTTGCAAGAGGCAGCCGATCCATGATTCTCTTATCAAGGATTTTTCTAACTCTCTCCGGCTCAGTTGGTTGGGTGTTGTCCAGTGCACCAAAGTGTTGCCAATTTGATTTCTTGTCAGGGCACATGCCTAGGTTGCAGGCTTGAACCCCAATAAGGGGTGTGCAGGAGACAGATGTTTCACTCTCACATCGATGTTTCTTCTCTGTCCCTCTCTCTTCCTCTCTCTCTAAAAATTAATAGAAGTATTTTTTTAAATGTTAAAAATATTGAGGAGGAAAATTAATTCCTATATGTCTATGGATATTTCTAGGCTTCTATTCTACAATAAAAAAATAACAAAGAATAAAGGAATCTTAAATATAAGCAAAAAAGTTTCTTACGTGGCATATCCAAACACAATGTTGGCAGTGACTTTCAATGCATCCAAGATTGGAATGGTATCATCATAGTCATTTCTATTTAAAAGGTAGGAGGGGAGAAGGCCAAATACAAAGGTAAAAAGTTAAACAGCATTTTTAAAAAGAGCACAACAATGTAATAAAAATATAACCCTATTCTACTATACATAATTAAAAATTATAGATTCAAAATTCCTTTATCCAATCACCTACATATCTACCAAAACTAACCCAGGGCACCTACACTGTTGAGACATCTTTTCTCTTGTTAGTATTTACACTGGAGTTACATCTGAACTCTGGCATTGGATTTTGGCTGGCAATGCTCAGCAAGCAAAAACGTGCGACTCTGAGAGGCATTACCATTAGTTCCCTTCCTTAGTAACATGGGCAGACAGATGGGATCTGGTTCAGCTAAACTCCCTGGATCTGCAAGACCAGGACTGACTAGAGTGAGCAGTGCCCAGCACTAAAGGTGCTGTTTCTATGAGTTTCCAGAGGAATAACTGCAGTGGCCGTAGAGGCGTCTGAGCAGCTGCACCATTCGTAGAATGAGTAAATATCCAGACCCTTCAGTTTTTTACTTTTGTCCTACAGCAAATAGGAAAAAGTTACAATAATTAAATACACACAGAGAAAATATAGTTTCCTCTAGTTTTCTTCTTAATCAGCCTCAATCTATACTCTACACTTCACAAACTTAAGGGGTTCTTAGCACGTGCAGGTTTGCCATAGATGTAATTTGCCAAGGTTGATGTTTAACTCCAACAAGCTTCGTTGAATAAAGATGAGACAGCTTACCTTTTCCTACACATGTCCAACAGGAACACATTGAGCCCCGTTTCTTTTTCTTGCATCAATTTCAGTATGTTTTGCACACACAGGCAGTTTTCAGACCTATATGGATTTGGAGCATCAATAGGAACCATAAAGCTGTTCCCAAAGTTTTCATAACCATGTCCCGCATAGTATAATAATCCTGAAGAGGGGCAAAAGGGGCAAAAGTTAATTCTAAATCGTACTCTGAACATGTATGTAGCACTCTTTAAAAAGTATAACTTTTATTTTCTTCAAGTTAATGCAAACTTATTTAAGAGTTTCCCAGTTATAAATACAGTTAATGTTAACTAAATGCACATTAAAAATTATTTTGGAAACAGCCTTCATTTTAGTACTGTGTTTTTTGCCCATTCATACAATTGGTTTATTCAATTCTTTCATTTAGCAGATCAGTATTTAAAGGGAAGACTCTGTGCCAGCCACTGTCCGGGCTTCAGGATTACTAACAGAGACAAAAAAAACCCCTGCTTTCATGAAGTGGCAATCTTGAGAACGCAAACAAATAAATACACGTATGACACATGGAGAAAAAACATGTTCCACGGAGAACTATAAAGCAGGGCAGGTGAAAAGGAGTGTGGGTTGGGGCACACTCCTATTTATCTGTTTTATTTTGGGTAGTCAGTGAAGGCATCCCTAATATGGGGACATGTGAGCAGTGGCCTACAGCACATGGTGGACAAGCTAAATATTAGGGGCAGCACATTCTAGGGATCAGGTGGAGGAATCTCCAAGTGAGAATGTGCTTCACATGGGGACAGTTGCAAAGTCGTGTGGATGAGTGGTGTGAGCTGGGGACGAGCAATAGAAGTTTAGTACTGTATTTATTTTTAAAATATATTTTTATTGATTTTTTACAGAGAGAAAGGGAGAGGAATAGAGAATTAGAAAAATTGATGAGAGAGAAACATTGATCAGCTGCCTACTGCACACCCCCTTACTGGGGATATGCCTGCAACCAAGGTACATGCCCTTGACCGGAATCGAACCTGGGACTTTTCAGTCCGCAGGCCGACGCTCCATCCACTGAGCCAAACCGGCTAGGGCTTAGTACTGTATTTTAAACCAACATCAACATGCTGTTTTGAAGCATGTTTTATTTATTTATTTATTTTTCTTTTCCTACTGCACACCCCCTTACTGGGGATATGCCTGCAACCAAGGTACATGCCCTTGACCGGAATCGAACCTGGGACTTTTCAGTCCGCAGGCCGACGCTCCATCCACTGAGCCAAACCGGCTAGGGCTTAGTACTGTATTTTAAACCAACATCAACATGCTGTTTTGAAGCATGTTTTATTTATTTATTTATTTTTCTTTTCTTTTTTTGACTCTCAATCTGTTTTTGTTCATCAGTTTATGTTGTTCATTATATTCCACAAAAGAGTGAGATCATGTGATATTTATCTTTCTCTGACTTGTTTATTTCATTTCAGGCATTTCAATAAATTAGTAAGGGTTCTGATAATATGAACAACTTTTTCTAAGAAGAGCAGGGAAATCTGATTTCACGAATTATTACTTCTTTTATGTTATGATATATAAATATCATTAATTTTTCATCTAGAGTCTCTTGAAGTAAAATCCAAAATTTGGGTTATTTCAGAAATCAATAGATGAGCCATTATTTCTTTACTGAGAAATGATACTAAGAAAAATGTACCCAACAACTCTAAAGATTTTCTTGAAAAGAAGTTTGTTTTAGCTGTAAAAAAAGACACAACAAAAATATCAGGATGGGATGCCTTATAAAAATATTTGAGAGAAGTACTTGTGAAGACATCCCTTAAGCATGCAATCTCTAGAATCCACTAATTTTGTTCTCTTAGATTCTGGAATGATACTTTTTTATATAGTATTCTAAAATTAATAGTAAAAAGGCCTTTAGATAGGGAACAACAAAAACACCAATATAGTGGTTACAGGCCCAACTCCAGCAGAGAATGTGGCTTTGAACACACACACACACACACACACACACACACACACACACACACACGCAGGATCCAGGTCTTCTACTTAAAACTCTTATTAAAATAACGAAAATGGTTCTTTCATATGACAAAACAGACAACACATTAATTCTGTATGGGTTTAATTTAAATCTCATGTGTACCCTGAATATAATCATGTAGATACTGCAGGAAATGAAAAAGAAAAGGAAGACAAAGTTCTTGTTCCCAAAGTTCTTGCAACTCAGTCAGGCAAGCTCATGTTGTTCGTTAAACAACAAAGGAAATTAGCATATAATTATTACCATAAATTATGCGATCAGGGAGGCCCTGTATGATATGAGTGAAGCACAGAGAGGAATGTAAGTGTGAGGGTAGTAAACACAGGAACTTGGGAGAAAGAGTACAATCTGGAAAGGCAGAGGGAAA